ATCAAAAAGAAAGTAGTGATTGAAAGCAGTGAAGATTCAAGTGATGAGCATCTTTTTCGTGTAATCAACATCAAACCTAAAATGGCGATTTAGGAAAGAGTTCATAAAAGGCCCAGAATCAAAAGGAAAGCAATTTTTGAAAGCAGCGATGATTCAAGTGATGATTCAAGTGGGAGCCTCTTTCTCGTGTATTTATCATCAAAACACTTTCTAAAAAGGCGATTTAGAAAAGAATTTACAGAAAAGTGCCCACTATCAGCAAGAAAGTAATTAATGAAAGCAGCAAAGATTCAAGTGATGAGCCTCTTCTCGTGTATTCAACATCATAACACTTCCTAAAAAAGGTAGTTTAGGAAAAGTTCACTGAAAAGGCCTGGAATCATAAGGAAAGCAACTTTTGAAAGCAGTGATGATTCAAGTGGTGAGCCTCTTTCTCGTGTATCCAATATCAAAATAATTGCTAAGAAACCAAGTTTAGAAAAGATTTTACTGAAAAGTGCCACAATCAGCAAGAAAGTAATTGATGAAAGCAGCGAAGATGCAAGTGATGAAAGCAGTGAAGATTCAAGTGATGAGCCTCTTTCTCGTGTATCCAACATCAAAACACTTTCTAAGAAAGCAGATTTAGAAAAGAATTCACTGAAAAGTGCCACAATCAGCAAGAAAGCAATTAATGAAAGCAGCGAAGATTCAAGTGATGAAAGCAGTGAAGATTCAAGTGATGAGCCTCTTTCTCGTGTATCCAACATCAAAACACTTGCTAAAAAAGCAGATTTAGGAATGAATTTACTGAAAAGTGCTAAAATCAGCAAGAAAGCAATTTCTGGAAGCAGTAATAGTAAAGAAATTACTGAGGATATTCGGTCATGGGCAAACGATTTTGAAGTGAATCATGATCAATTACATACTTTATTACCAATATTGAGAAAATATGGGTGGAATAAATTGCCATCAGCTGAAGTCATTTTGAAAATGACAGACCATATTTGAATTATACATATAGTATATAAGCACAGCGACTCATGTGCATTCTAGCATTATGAAAAATATTATTATAGTAATAATATTCTTGAAACGATGCCAAATGTAATAAAAATTTTATAAATAATAAAATTGATTTAATAAATATTGGTTGTCTTCCATTACATAAAAGCAATACAAATCAGTTTTGGCCTACATTAGGAGCCATGTTTTTTAAAAACATTGTAAAACAAAGCCTTTTTCTATACGCAAACTTATCACAATTTATACAGAGTTATAAATGAAATGAAATTTATTTATAAAAAAATCAACTTCAAAACAAATTATTTCATATGTAAATTTAATTAGTACAAATATAATTATCACTATCACTTATAATACCGTACTTTATAATATTTTTGTTGATTATTTTATGATAAATTTAATATACAATATATTATTTATTATAGTTTTATCCACTGAATGAAAGTCAAATTGGGTCTCGAAACGTATAGAAATCAATTACAATATTTTTAGAAACCTAAATAGTGTTCTTTCTATTTTTGTTATCCAAATGAATATGTTCAAAAAGTATTTAGTGTATATTAAGGCGGCGTCGATTTAAAAGTCACTTATGCACATATAATTTTCGGATTCTATTAGTGATCAAAATAAGCTACTTTACCCAAGAAACGATGCCTCTGAAATGAATTCTGAAAGGCCGAAAATCTTTACGTTTCAAAGGTTTTTGAACATTTTGGCATACCTTCAAAAAAAAGTGTGTGTGTGTGCGGATACAAATTTTTGTCGACGATTTCGGGAACACCGATCAACCGATTTGAATAATTCAAAAAACATTCGATTTGTATTGATAAGGAGACGTGTTGATTAGTTTTTGGCGAAGGCAGTCTAGCCATGCCGAAGATACGGAGCAAAAAGTGCCAAAAAGGGTAACTCAGTTTTTAAGAAAACGGAGCGTCCGATTTTAATAATACAAAAAAACATTTTATTTGTATTGACAATATGAAGAACTGATTAATTGTTTGGAAAGGCGGGTCCAGAAGTTATGGGCTCTTAAGAAAAATTAGTTAAAGAAATGTCATTTGACGGTCAAAAATGTTTATTGGACATATGTACATCAAATTATCAGATATTTTATAGAGATTTTAATAATGTGTACACGTTTTGTGTAAATTTCTTTGCGTTTCGTACGAAGAATTTGCCTTAAGGCACGATGCACCCCACTAGGTTTGCTGAAAATTTAACGTTTTAAATCATACAATTTACTACTAAAACTTCTAAATGACTGAACTATGTGTACAATACAGTTATAATACAATTATAAAAACCTAAAAATATATTCTATTTACTCAAAATCAGTTCAAATTGTTGTGTCTCATTCAGCTCGTCCGAATAAAAATATTTTAATAAGTGTTAGGCAGACAGTTTGGTACATAGTGAACCATTTTGAATTTTAAATAACGCGCCATCTTGTTAAATATCAATGCGCTTGAATAGATGTCTCATCTTTCTGAAAATATACTCTATGCTTCAAATGTCAAATAATAAATGCAAGTAAAGTTGAAATCTTTATCATATTAAATCAGATTGTTGATTTAACTAGATATTATTTAGCACACGAATATTTAGTGAGTATATTGGGGCAGTGAAAATATTTAAAAATGTCGGAAGAACAAATGGTGGTTATCTATGATAATGTAATTAAAATTGAACCACCAGATTTTTCAGCAGTGGATATTAAACAAGAAATAGAGGATGAATTGGATGTTCAACAAGAAATTGCAGGTGAATTGGACGATAAACAAGAAATTGGAAATGAATTGGATATTAAACAAGAAATGAAAGATGAATTGGACGTTCTTGATGTTAAGGTTAAATCTGAATCGGTTTCTGAGAACGATGAAACGTGTTTAGGAAGATTCATGGATTCAGAAGTAACTATAGAAGAAGTCAAAGAGGAAACAACGTATGAATGTGACATTTGTAATCAATTATTTGCAGAATCGCATCAGTTAAAGGAGCATATGGTAGATCACAAGCCCAGTCATAGCGAAGAACGCCCTTTCAAATGCGAAGTCTGTTGTAAGACTTTCAAACAATCAAGAGGCTTGAAGTCGCACATGTTTACACATTCTGAAGAATGTCCATATAAATGCAATAAATGCAATAAAGCATTCTCACAATTTAGTAATCTGAAAAGACACCTGCTCGTTCACAGTGGTGTGCGCCCTCATGAGTGCACTACATGCAATAAGACATTCACAGAATTAGGTAGTCTGAAACGTCACATGAGGATGACACACAATGGAGTACGTCGTCATGAGTGTGATGTATGCAATAAGACATTCAAACAATTACGTAATCTGAAAAGCCACATGCTGTTACATAATGAAGAACGCCCCCATGAATGCAGTTTTTGTGGTAAGACTTACACAGAACCCAGTAGACTGAAAAGACACATGCTCATTCACAGCAGTGAGCATATTAATGAATGCAATATATGCAATAAGACGTTCACAGAATTTGGTAGTCTAAAACGACACATGCTTCTTCACTTAGGAGTACGCTCCCATGAGTGCAGCATATGCAATAAGACATTCAATCGAATAGATCATCTAAAAAATCACATGATCGTGCACAGTGGTGAACGTCCTCATGAATGCAATATATGCAATAAGAGATTCACAGAATCAAGTACTCTAAAACGTCACATGTTGAGGCACCAAGGACTGCGACCCCATGAGTGCAATGTATGCAATAAGACTTTCACAGAATTTAGTAAGCTGAAAAGGCACTTGCAGATTCACAGCGGTGAGCATGTTCATAAATGCAATGTATGCAATAAAATTTTCACAGAATTTAGTAAGCTGAAAAGGCACTTGCAGATTCACAGCGGTGAGCATGTTAATGAATGCAGTAAATGCAATAAGACATTCACAGAACCTGATGATTTGAAACGTCACATACTTATGCACAATGGAGTACAAACCCATGAATGCAAACTATGCAATAAGGCATTCACAGAATCAAGTGAACTTAAAAAGCACATGCTTAGTCACAGTGGAAAGCAGCATGAATGCAATATATGCAATGAGGCATTCACAGATGCAGATAGTCTAAAACACCACATGATAACACACAACGAAGTACCATCCCATGAATGCAATGTATGCAATAAGACTTTCACAGAATTAAATAAACTCAAAAGGCACATGCGCATGCACAGTGGGTCCCATGAATGCGAGATATGCAATAAAACATTCACAGAAGCAGGTAGTTTAAAACGTCACATGCGCCTTCACGATGGAGTACGCCCCTATGAATGCAGTGTATGCAATAAGACATTCACACGATTGAGTCATCTGAAAGGTCACATACTCATTCACAGCGGTGAGCGTCCACTTGAATGCAGTATATGCCATAGGAGATTCAGGGAATCAAGTACTCTGCAAAAACACAAGCTGGTTCATTACAAAGAGCAACCTTATAAATGTGAAATATGCAATAAGGGATTCACTCAACCGAATGATTTGAAGAGACACATGGAACTTCATAGTGGGAAGTGTGATGAAAATAATTGAAATATAATCAATCTTATTAAAAGATTTATTTAGAATATTTAGAATATTTTTTATTTATTTATTATTTATTTTATTTATTTTTGTATGTAATAGAATGTATAAATAATATACAATGCATAGTAAACCTTATATGATTTGCATTTATTGATAAATAAATCAAGCCAATTGTTGCCTAATATTTTATTTTAATATTTATGACTTAAGTATTAAAAACAGGAATTAGCAACCAGATTTGATACTCACCTTGACCAGCTTGATGTTTTATAGCTTAATATTTATTTAGATCATATAACATTCTATAAGCCGTTCTTATTTTCAAACTAGTGGGGTGCATGGCATCGTGCCTTAAGGCAAATTGCTGGAACTTTCCGTACCGTAATTAAAAATCTTGGTACGGAACCCAAAAAAATTACACAAAATGTGTACACATTATTAAAATCTCTATAAAGTATCTGATAATTTGATGTACATATGTCCAATATAAATTTTTGATCTCCAAATGACATTTTTTAACTTATTTTTTATTGAGAGTCCATAACCGCTAGATCTGCCTTTCCAAAAATTTAATCAGTATCAATACAAGTAAATTGTTTTTTGAATTAGTAAAATCGGTTGATCGGTGTTCGCGAAATCGTCGACGAAAATTTATATCCGCACACATACACACACACAACCATTTTTTCTAAGGTATGCCAAAATGTTCAGGTACCTCTGAAACGTAAAGATATATAAAAATTTTCATTTATCATTTTCATTTATTATTTTTCATTTCATTTCGATTTTTTTGCGATTACTATAACTTATACCCTACTAATTAATAATTTATATGTTTTTGATCATTTTTTTGTACTTCTTGATTTATTGTGCAATATAAATTAATATTTCTTGAACCTTCTGATTTTATATTCTTTTATTATTCATATTTTCAATATTTCATTCTTAGATAATATAATTAATTTATTATTTTTAATAAATCAGTAGATTTAACATATATATGCATTTTGGGAAGTCAAAAATAGTCAAAAAGTGGGAGGGGGAAGGGGGATCCCAAAAAATGGCACCTGATTTTATTTCTTTCAAAATAATCTGAAGAAAAATATATTCATAGCATTATTAATCCAAAATAATGAATGAGCAGTGGAAAATATAAACTGTGGGCAAGTTAAAAAGTGTTTTTTTTAAAAAAAAAAAACAGCTACTGCCTGAAAAAAATTACTAAATATTACTAAATTATTTTTTTTATATTCTCAAGTTTTTTAAAACTAGTAAAAATCGGAATTTGGGAATGAGCGTAGTAGTCCACATACAAGATTCTCAAAAATTTCAAGTAAATTGCTTCAGTAGAAGTTAGGAAATCGTGGGTATCATATCGAAAAAGCCGAGGAGTATTATAATAAAACCGATATATCTCCGGATATAATTTATATTTTGAAAAATGTTCTTGTATACTTTCTTGACCTGTTATATTTTGAAAATATTTGGAAAAACTAGTTGTGTGTGGCATCGTGCCTTAAGGCAAATTGCTGGAACTTCCCGTACCAAACACTAACATTTAAAAAAAAAACTTTTTTTCAAAACTTTGAAATAATTAGGTTTTTGAGAATTTTGAAATTTTTGGAAAAACTTGACATTTTTGAATATTTTGATTTTTTTATTTATTAAATTCTCAACTTTTTTAAAAGCAATCACGCTGCATAGCTGTTTTTTAGAGTAGAAATATCGAAGCGCGTAAGCGCTGCGTCGTAGTCTAACGTGTAAACATTGGTGCGGAACCTATAGAAATGTACACAAAATTTATACTTTTGTTATAATCTCTAAAAAATATCTGACGATACTATATTAATATTATTAATTTTTAATTATCAATTACAGATGCCCATCCTCAAAGCCAAATCACTCGATTAGTTTGGCTGGACAACGAGACTCTGATTTCTGTTGGTCAAGACTGCAATACAAAAATTTGGAGCATCGAAGCAATCTAAGAAGCCCCCATCGTACTGATACTGATATAAGAGCTTGTAACTTTTGCTGAACAAATGTGTTGTTTACTTAAGCTAATAATTTTACAAATATTTTTGTATGAATTTTTTGATATACGTTTCTAATCTATAATTAGATACAAAAAATGATGGATGCAGTTTTTGAGATATTTTAACCTTATTTTATATATTTATACGTACTTGCAGCATTGCATTGGTTGTACTATTGAGACTTTTGTGCTTTTTGATATATTTGAGATATACATAATTATTTATCATGAGATGTAATTATTTATAATGGAATACATGAGATTAAACATTTATAAATTGGGGGTTCAGCTTTAGTTGAAAAACTGTAAGATTTTTAGTTATTTTAATGATATTGTTAATAGTAATAGAATTTTATAAGCTATAGCTTATAAAATTCTATTACTATTAACAATATCATTAAAATAACTAAGATTATGGCCGTAGCAATGGAAATATAGATGAAAAATATATTTTCAATTAAAAATAGCCCATTTTCAGGCACTGCGGTGTATAATGGTAATGGGAAATTTGTCACACTAGTTTTCTCTGAATCAAGTTGGAGTTTAACCCAACTAATGGACCTGCCCTAGGGCTATCACCTATTATTTTTATTATGATAAGATTAATATAAAGCTAATATTATTTTCTCAAATGTATAGAAATCAATGCAGTAAGTGATTATCTAATTATGACTAAGGCAGGTCCATAGACCATCATTTTTTATGGAAAAGCCTGTTCAGAAACAAGAGCTAGGAACAACCGGAGCCTTCAAAACCATGTTCTAAACTTAAGCTGAAAATTGAATAGTTAGACGATTTACTTGGTATAACGATAGAGTACTTGGTCTTGATGAACATACTAAACCATTATTAAAGTCTTACGGAAACTGGTTCAATTATAAAAATTGTTGATATGTTAAAATCTGCTTTTAGAAAATACTCCAAGTACACGTGTTTGTTTGTTTTCAGTTATGTGTGATAAATCTAAACGGGATACTCTTAATCACTCATAAATTAATTTATATTTTATTGATTAATTCGATAATTTACACATATCGAAAAGTTCATGTAACTTGCCTCAAGGCAAAATACCAATAACAACTAGTTAATCTTCTGTATTACTATATGTATTTAATGATTTTTATAGCATAGATCTCAACGAATATAAATCAAATTTATATATATATATATATATATATATATATATATAACTATATAACTATAGTTATATTTTTTTGAATTTTCCAATTTTACAATACATATTCTCACTAGTTTTTCTCGATTTTCTCTTAAACAGTAAAAGATAGCAAAAAACTTTATTTAGACTAAAAATACAGAATAAAATTACGAATAAAATGATATATAAATCGTTAAGTATGTTCATATAATTTTCTCGAGATTTTCCGATTTTCCTGAAATTTTACGACGGCAACTCGCCTGTAGGCCACACCGTTCGGAATTCGAAGTTGCGATATATGGGAAAAAAACTAAGAATTTTGAGACCTTTCTAACGATGTATAATACTTTATATGTTTTCTTTACAGAAATATCGAATCGTGAGGAGTATTGCTCCAACCTAGCCGCACTTTGCATTTTGACAAGTTAACATCTACACATATTGCTCTATAACATCAAAACCGTAAAAGATACGAAAAAACTTTGTTCGTACGAAAGATGCAGAATAAAATTATGAATAAAATGGTATATGAATGGTTAAGTGTGTTCATATAATTTTCTCGAGATTTTCCGATTTTCCTGAAATTTTACGACGGCAACTCGCCTGTAGGCCACACCGTTCGGAATTCGAAGTTGCGATATATGGGAAAAAAACTAAGAATTTTGAGACCTTTCTAACGATGTATAATACTTTATGTTTTCTTTACAAAAATATCGAAAAATAGAAGAAATTAAAGGCAGCCAAACCTAAGATAAGATTCTTATTGATCACAAGTTGATTATTACCATATTATTACCACGTGTCGGAAACTTCATGCTTATAAAATTCTTAGTTATGAAATTCATTAACATTATATATTTAATAAATATATCTATATATCTTAAATGAATGATTTAAATCCATTACGCAATATTTGTCATATTTAATTCAAATTTCGTGTCCAAGTTCATTTCGCGCCTGTCCAAATTAGTGAAGTGTCATGGATTTTTTTGGATAGTATTTTTTTTTATCCCTATCGGGCATTATTTTCAAATAAATTTGTCAGAATTTTTATTTTTGTATATAAATTTATTTAGTCCTTTCATATAAAAATGGTAATTAAAAACTTAGCCTTATAATTAATATTTGATTGATAATTTAGCCTTAAAAAAAAGTTAGGTTATGTCATATTGTGATTGAAATTTTTTGATTTTTACAAGTTATTTATTTGTGAAAGTGTAAATAAAATGTTTTATTGTTCTTTAGTAATTGAATTTGATTTGTTTTCAGTATCGTTATCTAAAATGTGGCACTTTGCTGCAACAATTACCTTGTGGCCTCAAAATTGGGGCAACGAATTTGGGTAGTACCACAGTTTTCCAACAATCCCAGGTAATAATTTTATAAATTTGTATAAATGTTTATTTTAACTGATATATAAATTTCTTATTATATGTTCTTGCAGTATTCGACTAAGAGATCATCATTTTTCTCTCAATTTATAGAAAATGTCAAACAAGATATGGCAAAAAATAAAGAGATGAAAGAGAGTTTAAAGAAATTTAGAGCCGAAGCTGAAAAATTGGAACAATCAGAAGCACTAAAGTCAGCCAGACAAAAATTCCACAATGTCGAATCAGAAGCTTCAAAGAGCACTGAAGTGTTCAGGGAAAAACTAGGTACTATCAAAAGCAAAGTGCACGAGGCTATGGAAGAAGCTGGAAAGACTGAATTTGCAAAAAAGGCATCACAAATCACTGAAGAACTCGGCAAATCAGCCAAAGGTGTTGGTGAAACCCTGTCAGAGACCACGCAAAAGCTAGGAACAACTGGAGCCTTCAAAACCATTTCCCAAGCCACGGAGGCTGTCAAAAAAGAAATGGACAATCAAGGTATACAAGGCCGTGTATATCAAGGTTTACAAAAATTAAGGAAAAGAAATGAAACTGCTGATGTTGCTGATACTAAAAGTTATGAGCCTAATGTAGATGCCACCGGTGTGGAACTGCATAAAGATTCAAAGTTTGCACAGTCCTGGCAAAATTTCAAAGACAATAATGCTTATGTGAATAAAGTCCTTGACTGGAAAATAAAGTACGACGAGTCAGAAAATCCAGTCATCAGAGCCTCTAGAGTATTAACAGATAAAGTTTCAGATATAATGGGTAATTTATTTCAAAAAACAGAACTTTCAGAAACATTAACAGAAATCTGTAAAATTGATCCGAATTTCGAGCAAAAACAGTTTTTAAAAGATTGTGAGAACGATATTATACCAAATATATTAGAAGCCATGGTCAGAGGCGATCTGGAAATCCTCAAAGATTGGTGTTTCGAGAGCACCTACAGCATCCTAGCAACTCCTTTAACACAAGCTAAAAAATTAGGCTATTATTTGGATTCTAAGATTTTAGATATTGAAAATGTTGATTTAGCTATGGGTAAAGTTATGGAACAAGGTCCTGTCTTAATCATTACTTTCCAAACTCAGCAAATAATGTGTGTCCGGGATTCTAAACATACAGTTGTAGAAGGACATCCAGAGAAAGTAATGCGGGTCAATTATGTCTGGGTCTTGTGTCGGGATCCGCAAGAACTAAATCCAAAAGCGGCATGGAGGTTAATGGATATATCAGCAAATAGTCAGGAACAACTAGTGTGAATAATTATAAAAATAGAAGAGAATATATTTGTGAATGTCCCAAAATGTGTTTAATTGCGTCTCGAATTAGAATCAGTTGTATGATTATAAGCAATATACATTTATTTACAATCTGTTTCATGAATTGACAAAAATTTTACCTAAAGTTAATTGCCATTAGTTGATAAATGTAAATATAAATGTTATAGGGTTCTAATAAAATTTATATTTACATGCTTGTTTGGACTATAGGTTTAGAACTTATTTATTAATTTTCCATGATTTTAGACCTTTCGTCGACATTTTCTCAAAAACTGCTAGACCGATTTTAAAATTTTAAAAGCCAATTGTTTAAATTACTATATTTGTTACTACTGCTAAATAATTAACATCTAGTAACAGTAATAAACAATTATTTAAATTTAATAAAAAGAGTACAAAATAAAGGATAGAATTTTCAATAAAATGATATCCGTAGTATGTTGATTTAATACAAAAAAGCAAATAAGTTAATAATAATAAAATATTACTAGAAAAACAATAAAGTAGAATAAAAACAATAAGTCAGAGATAATAATAAATATAACAAAATAACAATATTAGAAATAATAAGATAATAATAATATAATAATAATCATGTTAATATCAATGTAAGCGTTTACAAATGGCTATTTATGAGATCATAGGGATTTTTTACGTTTTAGCCATTTGATGATGTATTTCAATAAGGAAGGTTTTAGTTTTGTACAATGATTGGCCAAGTCTTTTCTTTGTAATTAGCATAAAAGTGTCCATGTTTTTTTTTAAAACATATTTTATCAATTTGAATATAATATCAAGTTAAAACCATGGTCTACTATTCACGTTTTTTTTAAAACACATTTTACTTGAATATGAAATCAAGTTAAAGCCATTGTTTTTGTCAAATAACTCATAAATTTTATATGAAAGCATTTTTTTCAGCTGTATAAGGAGAAACTAGATAAAATTTACTACAATTTCATGCCAACAGTTGCACTTGGTCCCATAGAATTATTTTGAATAAAACGACTTTCAATTTAATTGATATTCCTTCAAAAGCGAGACCATAATCATATATCTAATGCGATAAGCGATATATAAATGTATATATTGATATTCCTTCAAAACCAGTACCATAATTATATTTATAATAGCGTATAAAGCGATATTAAAATGTATATATTGATATTCCACCGAAACCGAGACCATAATTATATTTATAATAGCGTATAAAGCAATATATAAATGTATATAATGATATTACATCAAAACCGAGACCATAATTATATTTATAATAGCGTATAAAGCGATATACAAATGTATATATTGATATTTCTTCAAAGCCGGGACCATAATTATATATCTAATGGCGTATAAAGCGATATACAAATGTATATATTGATATTCCTTCAAAACCGGGACCATAATTATGTATCTAATGGCGTATAAAGCGATATATAAATGTATATATTGATATTTCCTCTAATCCGGGACCATAATTGTATATCTAATGGCGTATAAAGCGATATATAAATGTATATATTGATATTTCTTCTAAGCCGGGACCATAATTATATATCTAATGGCGTATAAAGCGATATATATATGAATATATTAATATTCCTTCAAAACTGGGGTCATAATTATATTTATAATGGCGTATAAAGCGATATATAAATGTAAATATAAATATTCCATCAAAACTGGGGTCATAATTATATTTATAATGGCGTATAAAGCGATATATAAATGTATATATTAATATTCCATCAAAACTGGGGTCATAATTATATTTATAATGGCGTATAAAGCGATATATAAATGTATATATTAATATTCCTTCAAAACTGGGGTCATAATTATATTTATAATGGCGTATAAAGCGATATATAAATGTATATATCCAATTCCCATACAAACCGAGACCATAATTATATATCTAGATCTAGTAGTGTATGAAGGAATCCAATGGGAATCCACTAAGATTCCTACGTTTCTAAGCGATTGCATGCAGCGCCTCTATGCAAAAATGTTCCCAGTTTTCTGAGAACTACGTAGTGACTACCGGGTTCATATAGTTCTGTGTTAGATGGCGCCACAGACCGAAATGTCAAACAGTAAAGTGACAGGTGGATATAAATAATAATAAACAATTATACTGGGATAAATATGATCCCTTACCACTACTGATGATATGAATGTGGATAACTATTCACGGATTTTTTAAAACATATTTTATATAATTTGAATATGAAATCAAGTTAAATCCATGTAAAATCATTCAAAGAATTTTTTGAAAATTCTCCAAAAATCTAATTGTTTCAGTTCTCAACAAATTTTAAAGCCTTTTAAAAATATCAATTTTTGGTACGGAAAGTTCCAGCAATTTGCCTTAAGGCACGATGCCATGCATCTCTAGTTTTAAAATTCTTCGTACATTTCCGCCAGAAAATCCGATTTGTTAATTTTGTTTTTCCGCCGTTACATACATACATACATATATATATATATATATATATATATATGCTTCTTTTATCTATGCATACATATATGAATAGGAGTGTGTGTGTGTAGTTATGTGTTTTGTATCGAACAAACATCAAACTCGTTTATACCCGACTTTTAACGAATAAACAGTTCGTGAATTTTAATTATAAATGCAAGATCAAGAACAAATTCAATTAACCAGATGAGTAATAATAATAATAATAATAATATTGAAATCATAATCATCAAACATACTAGAAGAAATAGTATTGGTACAAATTAATTTTGACAGTTTACAGATAACCTCAAGTATTTTTTAATCTTGGCAACAAAAGCCAAAAGTGACCGCATGTCATAAACAAGATACCAAGGTGAACATCATTAAAAATTATCTGTGACATAATGTATCCGATATTCCTAATCCATCTGTTATTGTTACAAGTCAATAATTGGTAAAGTAAATCAATTTATTCTCCACTTTCCGAAGTAATATTCATTTGTTTTTAGAGTCATGTCAAAACCTAACCTTTTGTAATGACAGTTCATTGCCATGTAAAATGTTAAAAACCTTACTATGTCTTTACAACCTCCGGCCAAGTTGTATAATAAATATCTATATAAAATGCATGTCCACAAAAACTAAAGGGCACTCCTCGTCAAGCCCCACATCAATTTTTAAAGATGGACTGGCCAAAGCTATCGGCTCTAATCCTATGGGTGCCATAAGGAAAAACAAAAAAGCTATCTATTTACCCGAAGACAGGTTGAAAAATGACAAAGTATGTCTCAGCAAAATAACTCCAAGATTTTCAGTTTATTAGAATCGAGCCCCTTGCTGACCCAGGACCCTACCAGGAAAGATGTCAGTCTGAAAACTACTAATCTTGATAGTGTTTGCAGAGCTAACGACTATTATAAAATCATGGCTGCTACTAAATCTAACACAGACGAGGAATTTGATTATGATAAATATCAAGAGGATTGTTTGGCCGAGAGTAAAAGATTGAAAGGCTTTAGGAAATGGAATAATACGAGCCTTGGGCAAAATTTTGGAACCAAACAAGGTAATAAATGATAAATTTAACTTTTTTTCATATAATATTTCCATAGATTTGCAAAACTGAAGTTCTTTTTAATTATATTCTAAAAAATAGTACTTTTTTTTATTGACTACCTTTTTAGTAACTTGCGTAACTAAATTTATTTGTTTTTAATTTTTAGAATTTTTTTTTATGAAATTAAATACAAAGTAATATATATATATATATATATATATATATATATATATATATTAATTTAGAAATATGAACAAACAGCACTCTTTTTGCACGATTTTATTAAATAATATTAATTTCACAAAGGTCTCGAGGACTAGGTTCGTCTCATCATCAGTATTTTTTTAATTATTTTTAATTTAACGTACAAAGATTTTTATATGAAATTAGAAAACAAGGTAATATAATATATTCACCTTTTTTCTTATACTATTTTTGTAGATTTGCATTGAACTAAATTTGTTTCTAATTTATGGTACAAATATTTATTTATAAAATTGTAAAGCAAATTATTATCTTTTATTATTCACCTTTTTTCATGGACTATTTTTTTGCCAAACTAAATTTACTCATGGTTTTATCATATAAGTTTTTCATTCATGGTACCAAGATCAATCATAATAATAATAATTTTTAGGTAATAAGTATTAAGTAATAACTGTTGACGTTTTTATTATATTATTTTGAACTCCATTAAAAAATCCAAAAAGTTTTTGAATAATTATTATATATCGGGACATCTGTTAAGAATATGATCTTAATTAGAAAATAAACAAAAAGAAATAATTAAAATTGGATTGTAATATAATATATAATAAAAAAATATATAAATGATTATATAAGGAAATATTAAAACACCATTAAAATGTTTTTTTAATAAAAAAGTTAATCACTAATATGAAGATACACTTCATAAATTACTTAAATAATTTCTAAATAATAATATTGTTAACTTGTGATAATGATAATAATTTTCTGGAAATATTTGTGCCATAATTTGTATTATATATTATTTATATAATTCATTCATTTATAATCTTTATTACATACATATTATATTAATAATATTATAATAAAATATAATTTTTATTATATTATATTATATTTTCATGTTCTTGGCAGAAAATCTAAAGATGGAACGTTTTTGGTTTTTTATTACTTTCTGAATTTATTATTCGAAGCTTAACAAAATATAAAAATCCAAGATGGATTTATCCAGTAAATGAAATTAAATATATTTACATATAATAATTGCTAACAAATATTATTTATTATTTATGTCTTTGTAATTTAATCTTGATTATCATGTCCCAAATCTTTGATGTATCTATTGTCATATGAAAGTTGTAAATGAAGTACTTACATTCTAGATATATTTAGGATATTTGAACCATTTATTTTGAAAGTGATGTAAGACTATTTTCTATTGATTCGAGAAAGTTTAAGACTATAATGACATGGCAATTTTTTGATATTCAATTATTAACTTACCATAGGGTAAATCGAAATTGAAAATTTTTACATTTCTTCACGTTTTGAAGGTTTCTGAACATTTTGGCATACCTTAGAAAAAATTGATGTATGTTTGTGTGTGTGTGTGCGGATACAAATTTTCGTCGACGATTTTGTGAACACGGATCAACCGATTTGAATGATTCAAAAAACATTCGATTCGTATTGATAAGGAGACGTGCTGATCAGTTTTTGGCAAAGGCAGGTCCAGCCGTTACGGAGATACGGAGCAAAGAGTGCAGAAAATAGAAATCGTGTTTTTGAGAGAACGGGGTATCCGATTTGAATGATTCAGAAAACTTTCTGCTTGTGTTAACGAAACGATTGCTTTTGGGGATTTTTTTTTTAATTGCTCAAAATTATTTTTTTTAAATATCGAAAATAGTTCGGATTTCAATTCTAATTCTTGTTTATATACTTTTCTGTAAAAATATATAAATGTCGTCGTCCAATTCACACGCTCCTTATATTTTGTCTATAAAATAAGAATAATAAAAGTTGTGTGTAAAGTAATTACAGTATTATTAATAGCCTATTTGAAAACATTTAAAATTCCTATAGATTATTTCATTACGGTACGGGATGTTCCAGCATTTTGCCTTAAGGCACGATGCCATACACCACTAGTTTAAGTGTTTTCATATAACGCGGTACAAATGATGATCACTTTCAAATTAAACGGTCCAATTAAAAATATATAAACAAAATAAAACAAATTAGTTTATTTTACAAATATGTACCTGACTAGTAATGTTTTAATGTAGTATTTATTCTTCTCACACATCTCAAATTATTCTCTAAATTCCAGCAAACTCTTCCATGTTCACATTACTGTCCTTCAACATTTTGGCACAAAACTTGTTGGAATCGCACAAATTCCTCTATCGAACAAGTGACCCCAGAGCACTCACATGGACACACCGGGTTCAGAAAATCTTGGAAGAAATCATATCTTACAATGCAGAGGTAAAACTACCTTTAATAACTAAAACAATGATACAGATTCTATTACCAAAACTATTATTCAGATAATATGTTTGCAAGAACTACAACAAGAACATATATCATATCTAACCAAAGCCCTGATGCCGCTAAATTATAAATACGTGTACAAAAAACGCACAATGGAGCATAAAGATGGTAGCGCTATATTTTACAAGTCGAATCTTTTTACAATGGTAGATTATAAGCTTATCGAATACTATCAGCCCAATGTGGAGGTTTTGAATAGGGATAATGTTGGAATAGTGATTAAGCTTAAGATTAATGAGGGCCAGTTTGCGAATAATGCAACGGACAGTGATATTGTAGTTGCTACTACTCATTTGTTATATAACCCAAAGAGGAGCGATGTTAGATTGGCCCAGGCACAATTGATGGTCGCGGAACTGGATAAAATGGCTTATATGGGCAGGGATGAGAATGGATTGTAAGTAATAATAATAACAATAATATATATATATATATATATATATATATATATATATATATACTAGCTGACCCGGCAAACGTTGTTTTGCTAAGTAAGGTATATTCTAAACAATTTCTAGAGAATTAAAAATATTAATACTTAATGTGTATAATGATGTGTTGTTTGGATGCTATACGAGGTATTATAAAAACAATAAATCCCATTAGTTTATCTATATTTTGTCAATTCAATCAAACTGCAAGTTTTATACACTTCTTTCCAATCCAAGTCTTTTTTGGTCTTTCGACTTATTGATTACGTTTCAAGTTTTTCAGATTTTTTGGATTCTGGATTTTGTGTATAATTGTAAATAATACTACTGAGCTTATTAAAAAATTTCAAATTTCTGCGAGGAGAGAATATAGAAAATGAATTATTAAGTGTTCTTCTTTGACCTGCTTTTTGAAAAGTTCAAGTAACATTCGATGAGATGAATTAAAATAAATTTAATAAAAAGTATATATGTCGAGCAAGGCAAGGCACAAAGGTCCAATTTGAGTTTGAGCAAATATAAATTATATTGTGAAAACCAAACCAATTTTATCACAATAAATGACACATTTCAAACAAACAATTATCTGACTACGTTCAGTAAAACTGTCAGCTACTTCATCATTGTAGAAAGGTGCTTTCTGATGTCTTACAAAAATTTGTTATCTAAACCTTTTTACCCTATAGGCGGGGTAACTTGGAACGGCCAGATGGCAAACAGGTTTAATGTCTTATTTTAATTTTAAAGGTATTTTACAAAATAATTACATTTTTAACTAATGCTAAAGGAAAACTACCAACTGAAGAAAATACTTTTATGATGGATTTTCAAAGATTACCGTTTTCAAATCAAGGTTATAGCTGGATATACATCTTTTTTCCTCTGCTTTCAAATATTGTTGTTAAACAATGCTTAACTTCACTGATTTTTGACTCATCGGTTCTGGACCTTTTTAACCCGGACCTCCATATATTACTATCTATTCTTCGATAAATTCTGAGAAATTATAACTGGGAAAATGTTATTCGACAAAATGTCCATTTGATCGATACCAAATTTAGGTTCTGAATTTAAATAACATAAATAAAAAATAATATAACCTAGAAAATGTTTTATAAATACCAATGAGTATATAATTATACAAATGAGATCTTTCAGAGCACTGTGTTTGAGAAAAATATGAAAAAATAAAAAAGTGCGTTTTCATATTAACATTTCAGAAAAGTTGATATTTTGAGTCTCTAGTAACACTTGCGGCTCGTTTACTAACGTTTTTGTATATAAATAAAACTACAAACAAATCTACTTACTACAATTCAATCATAATTGAATAATATTCACGTAAAACATCCTATTAAACGTAATTGAACATCATCTGTCAAAAGCGTTTGACATTTGACGTATTAGCCACCGTCCATTGTTTTATTCAAATTACGCTTCTACAAAAAATTTCAAATTAAAAATGTAAAGTTTCTTCGCGATTTTGAAATAAATCTCACCTTTCCGACCATCTCTGGATCGGCACGAATTTTTCAAGACTGAGACTGGCCAAATCGGTTTAGTCGTTTTCGAGTTTTAATAAGACATTTGAAAGAGAGCTCCGTTTTTATATATAAGATATATATTAGATGGTAGAGTATGGGATTTGTAAATATTTTGTAGAGCTTCGAACAAAGAATCCAAAAAGTAATAAAAATCAAAACTTTTTTAAAAACCCATTTTTTTATTTATTTACTGTCGACGTTTCGGAACTAGGTCCGATCCATCTTCAGGACATCTGTCAAGAAACATGATCTTGTTAAGATTTAAGCAAACAATATATTTAAGAAAAGCAGAAGATGATGTATTTTATTTATATAAAATGAATAAAATTATGGAAAAAATAATGTACAGAAATATGACAATATAATCAAAATGAAACTGATAAAAATAAATAAGTGGATTATATAACAAAATATTAAAAATGTAAAAAAATTAAAAAGTTTTAAAAAGTTCCAAGAAAAGGTTACTGAAAAAGCAGAACTGAATTAATTACCTGTATGATTGATTATACTAATATACTAACACCTTTTCACTAAAATTTTTGATAAAATCGTTTTTAGTGAAGTGTTAGTGTATAATCAATCATACAGGTAATTCATTCTGTTTTTTCATTAACCTTTTCTTAAAACTTTCTAATGTTTTGAAATTTTTAATATTTTGTTATATAATCCACTCATTTATTTTTATCATTCTCATTTTGATTATATTGTCATATTTCTGTACATTATTTTTTCCGCAATTTTATTCGTTTTATTTGAAAAATCCACGATCTTCTGCTTTTCTTAAACATATTGTTTGCGTAAATCTTATCAAGATCATGTTTATTGACAGATTTCTTGAAGATGGAACATACCTAGTTCCGAAACGTCGACAGTAAATAAATAAAGAAATGGTTTTTCAAAAAACTTTTTGTTATTTAATTATTTTTTGGATTCTTTGTATGAAGCCCTACTAGATATATATATATATATATATATATATATATATATTATTTATTTATTTATTATATTTTCAGACCTCAATACCTTCCAATTATTTTAACGGGTGACTTCAATCTACAACCTCACACTCCGGTCTACACATTTTTAACAAGAGGAATACTACAGTATTCGAATTTAACATATAGACAACTAGAACCGATTCAAAGCAGAAATGATCCAAGACAATGCACCTTGCTACCGCCTCATGTTGGAATCAATGATAATTGCCAGTATATTGATGTTGTTAAAAGGAGATTAAACATGGTAAGAATTTATAACAAACTTTTATCATGAAATAGTTTTAGTTAGACAATGAATAAATAACACTGGTACTAGGGTTTGTCAGTTTCAAAAACCGTTTTTTTGGCGAAAATTATGGAATTCGAAAACCAGTTTTGTAGTGAAAAAGTCGGTTTTCACTGTATGAATGGAAAATGACGAATATAGCCAAATATAAAAGATAGATGCAAGCGTTTTGATTCTTGAAATCATGTCGGTT